ACAAAGCTTATTCAGGATGTGAAATTGGGACCTTATTAAAGATTTTCAGCAGCACTTCCCTGTCTCAGTCAATATTTTCCACCAGGCAGGGTTTTCGAAGACATGTTAGAAAGCAAACTCCATGAAAGAAGGGGTCATCTGTGTTCTTCATCTGTTTCTCTAGGACCTAGCACACAGTAACTGCACAAAGAATAGTTATTTAGCAACTAAGTAAGTGGGATAATGGRTATACAGAATCGKGGAGAAGGATGGATGAGTGATGATRTCACCTTCCAATAACTTTTATATCAATGCAGACTCTGTTATCTCTTTATTTTGCATTGATTTGCATATTTGGTATTATGACCTTCTAATATTAAAGCTCAATAATTGGGACAATCTGAGCTCTTCATTTTCCCTTGTATATCATGCAAGTGCTACTACCAGGTGAAGATAGGGACTCGGGAAACTCTCTTTCCTTGGTCAAGTGACATTGCTAAGAAGCTTATCATTATTTTAGCTTTCATGGAAGGCACTTTCTTCTCTTTTCTCCTTTTCTGTGAACTYATTATTCCTCAGATTAAGTAGGTGYTTAAGTAAATGATGCATCAAGCACTTAATGTCCATTTTGAAGAAAATTTAGAAAGAAAATTCAGAAAATYCCTAACTCTTTACCAAGGCCTTATTGCAAGTCCATATTCTGGTCACCATTTAKTCTCCAAATGCTCTTCCTAACCCCCTCTTCCTTGTGTACTGCAGTCAACCCACTGCCTAATGTTTTATCTCTGAAACAAAAAAGATGGTTCAGACCAAACAGAAATACTTCTTTAAAAAAGAAATGCTTTTTCCTRTGTGTGAAGACCTTTTCCTAGATCATCATTTGATGGTTCCTTCTCATTCTGCAGAGTTATTGTTTATTTAATAATTATAAAGCCCCAACTACATGCTGGCCACTGTTCTAGATGCTGGTAATGCAACAASACACAAAGCACAGATCTTCCCTCATTTAGTTGAGAAGAAAAACAAATAAGCAAATAATGATATAAGTAAGGCAGCATTACATGCTTAAATGTCAGCTCATCTCCCCTTAACCAAGATTCTGCAAATTCCATATATAACCCAACCTTGTTTTCCTACTATTTATTAAGGCTTGGAATGACAATATTTATTCAACCTATGTTTTCTGTGTTATTCCAAACCATGAAAGTCCTGACTCCAGGGATCTTRTCTGTTATTCACTTTTATATGCTAGAACGGTGCCTGGCAAATAGAAAGAGCTCAATGAAGAAAAATGACTACCTATTCACCCAGGAGTTTYCAATGGAGCATCCCTGATCCTAAATGATCCAAAAAAAATGAGCATTGATATGATGCACAAAAAGTTGTTAATTTTTGAACACTTCTGATTTTGAATGATCAGGTGAAGGATGATTAACCAGGAAAGTCTATGCAGATATTACTAAATCTGAAAAAAAATGTTGAAATCTGCAACACATCTGGTAGCAAGCATTTTGGATAAGGGATGCTCAATCTATATTTTTATGCACATCAGAAGAGGATTCAAACAAGAAAACCTGTTATTAATCGGAGATCTACAGAATGCCAAGTAYTGTATTAGGTACTGGGGACCCAGCAGTCTGTGAGGCTCACAAAATATCATAAGATCTCAGAGCAACAGAGATAAAATAAACTCATTTTAAAAGTAGTGACTAAAAGGAACATAAGGCAGAGTATTATGGTTATTATGGTACATAGAAATTGCTGGGGAGGAGGGCTGTTTGGAAAAGGTAGCTGCAGAGGGGCTTGCTAAAGGGGACCAAGGGGAGACCYGATGGCTGAGAAGGAGCTGGCAGTTCGGAGAGCAGGACCAGAGCTTGCCAAGCCCTTGTGAGAGGAGAGAGCATGGCATCCTTGCAAAGCAGAAAGAAACCTGTGTGGTTGGAGTGACCAGTGACAGGGAGAACAGCASAGCAGCACCTTGGAGAGGTGCACAAGGCTGAGATCTGGAAGGTGAGGAGTTCAGTGCTGTTCTATTATTATTGGAAACCACAAGAGGCTTCTGGAGAATCTTAGGCAGAATTGTGAGAGGTCTCAATTACATTTTTAGATCATGCTAGGTGCTGTGTAGAGAATAGATTATGGAAGGGCCAGAGAGAAGGGCACTTAATCAGTATTTTTTWAAAAAATAAAAGTTTGAAAGAAAAAGAAATAGGAATTTATAAAGGGGATACTGGTGATACGGATATTGCAAGCAGAAGAGTCAATGTACAAAAACTTAGAAGCAGGAAACAGTCTGGTGTCCAGGAACCACAGGTCACCTGACTGGTTAGGACTTGTAGGTGTGTTTGGAGGACAATGYCACTTATATTAGCTGGTCAACAGATGCTGGCTGAATAGTAGAGTCCCCCAAGATGGTACAGTCTGTTTTTGCTATTTTCTATTTTTCTGGGTGTATCTCACCTCYCTGTTTATAAATTCTTTATAATCAGGATGAGAGTCTAATTCTCATCCTCTGCATAATTGAAATTTGTTTAAATTGAATGACAGCTATATTTGAAAATTACAAGATCGAGGGTAGGCGTGATAAAGGGATAAGAGCATAGATTTTGGGGTCAGGTAGCTTTGGACTCRTGTTTTGAGCTCCACATATTAATTRTGTGGTRYTGGGAAAATTATTTAGGATCACTGAACATTCTATTTTCTCACATGGGGAATGGTGAAATCAAACCCTAACTTTCAGGGAGTTTATTATTATTATTATTATTATTTTAATTTGTTTTAATTGGTTATACATGACAGTAGCATGCATTTATGCACTTTGATATATCATACACTTTCAGGGTTGTTGTAACGATAGAGATAAAAACCAGTAATTCCTGCCAATTGAAATCACAACACTGTAAGCACTTGATGAACTGCGGTGATTAGTGTTTGGTTTGTGACAACCTATCAAGGTCCCAAGAGGGGCAATCAGGAGGGAGGCTCCTGGTTAAAGCCTGCCACTAGCTCAGAGGGGACCTCACTTCCATCTCCATAAGACAAACAGGGTGAGATGTTATGGCACACCCCAAAACAGACACTCTGAAATTTCAAATGCAGATTTTGAAAGGTTGATCTGAGTGATCCAAATGAGGGCTGGARGTCATTTTGTTTCACGCTGCTGAAGTTGCCTCTGGTTTGTTAAGAATCTGCTTCAGCATTGTGGTGAGACAAGAAAAAGTGCTTTTAGAAAGTTTTCCCCAAATTCCCAGTGGTTCTACTGGTTCTATCTTAACCTCAAATTACAGGTTAAATAAATGCTATTTTTTATTTTATAGGTGACAGTGGCAGACATAGAAGAGACTAACTCCCCATCACATTGTTCCCAAACAAATGACTAATATATAGAAGAATTGATCTGTGAAACTGTTGGA